TCTTAATATATATTAGAAGCAAATTTCGAATTTTCAAAATCCTGCCAAGTGAGGCATAAATAAGAAGACAAATTTATGTATTCTAATTGGTATCTTAATCCCAAGCATCAAGCACAAACTTGAGCTTGATGCTCGTAATCTTAGAGCTTGTTTGGTACAGCTCAAAATTGAATTAAAATTGAAAATATAGTCGTTATTGGGTCTCACTCGTCTAATAAAAGTCAAAAATAACGGCTAGTTTTTCAATTTTAATCCGATTTTAATCTCTACCGAACACGCCCTAAATAAACACTATGCATTAAAACCTATCGGATACCATTTATTCGAACATGCTTATTCTATTACGAAAGTTCATTAATCTAGATGATCCATAGAAGTAAAGGTTGTGAGTCTAGGAGTGCACCCGTGTAAGATCGAGTGACTCAACCAACCTTCTCAAAGGCTAGAACAACTTGCTACGTTTGGCGAACCAAAACTTGAACGGGACCGAAATGGATTAGCTTCAGGTCAAGAAAATTTTAAAAGAATATTTCTTGTACATGACTTGTAATAATTTGCTTGTGTTGTCAAAACAGAGTGTCATTATTCCCTCTTTCTCGTAATAATTGTGATTGCAGAGAATAAAATTCATTTTTGTGCTTCGTACAAAAGGCTGATTGCAGCAGTCTCTCTCCGACTCTCCCTCTAATGAGTGGTAGGTTATAATTCTAAAGGAAAAAGCCTGTTTAAAGTGTTCATCTTTGTTATAATTGCCTGTTCAAATGAGACCTATAGGATCAACAAAAATGCTACATGTCAATCTAGGACATGTTTGGCCCCCCCATTAAATTTTAGATCATTTTTCTCTATTTTCTTATCAATTACATATTTTCTCAATAAAATATTATTACACATAAAACCCAAAAATTCTCTTTATTTTTTAACCACGCATTCTTCAAAAAATATTATTCCAAAATCAATTTTTTGCAAATAATGGAGCCAAACAAGCGCCTAGTTTGACATTTGATGTGTTGTTAAAAAATGATTGGAGGAAAACTATTTATTTTTTTTAAAACTATCTAATGGTATGTTGCCACGTGATAAAATGTAAAAAATGATATAAAAAATAATATATATGTAACATGATTGTAGGATCAAATGATGAATGACAATTGCTTAACCACATAGAGTATATCTTGAATTTACTATTCGATACGATTCACAAAATTTTTAACTTATTTTTTGTTTCCGTTTATTATTATATAGTTTCACTTCATCAAACAAGTCAAATGTGTCAAAAGATTTAATTATTTTTGATCTTTGAGTAGACGATATAATAGACAAATAAATAAAAGGGAGATGATTGTTCGATTGAAGCCAGACCTCTATGATTTGAAATGAGTGCAGAAATTTCTCTTTAAGAGAATGATTTTTACAGAAAAAGCCGAGAGGTTTAATCAGCTATGGCCTCTTTTCTTTTTTCTTCTTAAATGATTTTTACTTTTCAGTTTATGTATTCTAAGAATGTGTTAATTAAATCATTTTCATTCATTAATATGGACCATGGTACAGTTGTATCCATCTAGGTTCATTAAGAAGAAAATGAAACATTCTCTTGGGAATAATTTATAGAGCATGCATCATTCTAGCTAGAAAACGATGGTTGGTCAAAAACTAACTTGTCTCAATAAAAAACAATCTACATAAGAAAATCCAAACGTAATTTTTGTATAGTTGCAATTAAGAACAAATGTAACATGTTTTATAGTTTCATAATCCGTATTAGATACGATGTTTGATAAAAAAAGAAGATTAGTGCATCGACTACTCATTTATCCACAAATCATTCTTTTAACTTCTAAATACTATTAAAAAAATGCATTTCTAGTCCCTCACTGTTGCGTAAATAGAAGTTGGTCCCTAAAATAATTGCACAACCAGATAAGAAAAATCGTCCAAATCTCTATAAAGTTCTTATGCAAATGCAACACTCATAAAAATATATCTTACTTCGAATTTCTGAACATTAGCTTAGGTAGAGACAAAAAACTAGTTTTATAAAATTAAATATTTAGTGCGTATACAACGATTTACAAAAAATTGGACAGTCTTGACACGATGATTGATTGTCTACTATAATTAAAGGAAGATGATCAACTTGTTACTATAACTAAAGGTTATGGAACTAAGTGAAACTTTATCTACTAATAATTATTTGTGACCAACCCTTTCAATCACATAATGACACCAAATTTTCATGTTCATGCAACAAAATTGTTAATCATGAGCCATCTAATCGACAATCAATGTGGATGGTAAATGAAAGTGATGAGGGTAGTCTAAATTTATAATTTTTCTTGGTGGAGGGCCCTTAATTTGTTAGCACCACTAGAAAATGTACTCTTTTTTCTTTTTTTTTGGTTTAAATGAAATAAGGCATTTGAATAGTAGGTACATGACATTTATGTCTCAACTCTTGATATTATATAACTTCTTGCATCTATATTGGATTATTACACCTCTTTTCACACATGTAAAACCAATGTGACATCAATATAAAATGTTAAAACAAAAAGAAATTATCTTAGTTTATATGGTATGGTACGACTTGTTCGTGGTATTGAATTTTTGAAGTAAATATAACGATGATCAAACGAAGTAATAGAAAACATTTCTAAAAGACCTAGTTCTTCGTCATCTTATATACACAAGCTAACATCTCTATTTGTTAGTACAAGTTGGAAAAAATTACTCAAATCTTCAATGTGAAATAGTCGGTTCTATCATGTTTGAAAGAGAAAAAAGTTAATGGCAAATTATTTTCAAAATGAAAATTGGTTAGATTGGTGGGTGACCAATGTTAGTACTTTAGTGTGCTGACGTCAAAATTTACACACGACTTTATATCTCTATTTGTTAGTACGAGTTGGAAAAAATTACTCAAATCTTCAATGTGCAATAATCAGCCCTATAAAGTTAATGGTAAATTATTTTCAAAACGAAAATTGGTTAGATTGGTCATATCATAGGATGAAAGATGTGAGTCAAATCCACCCGTGAGCACTTGTGTTTACTAGGCTAATGGGTTGTGTCCACATAATACTAATTAATTGAAAGAGGACATAATTTGAGGGAAAAAAATGATCACATCCTATAATTTGGTGTAGGTTGTGTGGCAGGCAAGATAAAAGGGTGCCCAAATCGACGGTCCAAAAATAAAAATTTATAAGTAATAATTCACTTTCCAATGAAATCTCAAAAGACAAACATCCCCTCAAATGTCACATTCTTCGAAAACCCACGAGCTACCTCTTAGTAAAATAAATCAAATAAATAAAACAATGCATAGAACCCAATATAATTTAGATTTCTTGGTCCCCCATATCCCCGTCTAGAAAATATATATTATACATTTAAAAAAACATATAAAATGGTTATAATATTAAAAGGACATTACATGATATTGCCAAGAGCATAGTTGAAAATAATATTCTTTTATTAATTATTGTACATTTATCTTTTAGTACACGTAAAAAAGAATTGAACGAAATGACCAAAAAGAATTATATAATCAACGTCAAATTTTTTCGAGAATTTTGGTAATGCATTCTTGAGCTTTGTAACTATGGAATAAAGCATGAAGATTATTTAACATTCCAAAAGCGTAGATCTCTAATAATGCAATATTAAACTAGATGCCACCACTAAGATCTTAACTACTTTTTTTTTTATTTCATATTTTCCATTATCATTCACCCATACCCTCCTTACCAAACATGCATTAAAATCCATGAACTCGTCAATGATTACTGGGTGCGAGGGTCACTAATCAATGTTTTTTAAATCTTATACTGATTTGCTCGCGACAAGGACTAGAAGAAGCACAGTAAGTTCTGCGACGTCAAAGTGAAAATAGATAAAACTAAGTGCAACGTGGAAATTCTATGTCGCAGTGAAAAAATTAAAACAAAAGAATTTAAAAATAAAAAGAGAAGTTAGGACAAGGGTTTTGGGTAACCTAACATGATTTTATATTTTCCAAATACAAAGAACCCCATCACTCCAAATCCCTTTAGAAAAACTCAATACAAGGGAATTAGAAGAGTGTATATCTAGGAGAAAACAAACCCCACAAATTTCAATAGAATAGAGGGGAAGTAAAGGAACAAATTCAGTTGCTCGAGGAAGAAAAAGAGGAAACAAGAATCCAAGATGTGCACTAAACTCAAAAGGGATAGTCCTCCTCAAAGTGTTGCCCAATCCCAGTCAAACCATTCTACAATCCAATGATCTCAATTCGAAATCCTAAAAATATATTGCCAATCAAAATTTTTTAATACCCCACTTACAATTTCTTTTCTCTTTCTTCATATATTGATATTTTCTTGTCTAAGCATTCATATTTTGATAAAGAAATCACCTAGAAGAAAAGGGATGAAATTGGAAGAGAGTTCACTAGAGTTTCCTGTCCCTTAAATTTGCTTGCTTTTACTCTTTCACAACTCTGTTTAACGAACTAATAGTAACTGCTCGTGAAAGGTTTGACTCGTGGATTTATAAGCACTTTGAACACTTTCTTTACACAAACCGATTTTAAGGGCGAGTTCTTAAAAGTTGGGAGGGGGAGTTTCTTAGTTTCTTGATTTCTTCTTCTTCTTCCTATGTGTCCATTTTAACAATGAAAATGGCAGATTACCTATCATCCTTTCCCATCTCAAGGAAACACTCATCATTGCTCCCAACAGTCCTTTTCGACCTCAGAAAACTGAGTTTCCAAGATTGATTTTCCCTCCTTCCATAATTTTCCTTCCCCTTCTCCTCCCAACAATTCAAATATCATTCTCTATATTACTTTTTCCCTCCCCCTTCCTCCTTTTCCCTTTCTAGTTACTTTCCCATGATGGATTCTTCATCCAACTCTCTCTGTAGCTTTTCAACCCCAGAAAACTAAGCTTCTAAAATTGATTTCAGTTTCCCTTCAACTTCTCCCTTTTCCTTGTCTATTTACTTCCTTCCATATGATGGATCCTTCCTCCACAAACTCTGTCACTGGCTTCTACAATTTCCTAACCCGAGGAATCGATGATCTCGAACGAGTTTTCCTGTCTAACAATTTCATGTCAATTCAATTCCTTCAAAGAAATTTGTCCCTCTTGAGATCATTCCACAATCAGTTGACCCTTTTGGTTCAAAAACTTCACTTGCCAGTTGGAGAAAAATGGCTTGATGAGTACATGGATGAAAGTTCCAGGCTCTGGGAAATTTGTCATGTTCTTAAATCTGGAATTTCAGGCCTGGAAAATTTTTACTCCGCAGGATTCAACATAACTTCTTCCCTCGACAGCCATCGACGTTTAAGTCCACAACTTACGCGTCAGGTGAATAATTATTATTGAACTATCTCGCCTGAAAGTTTAAATATACATTATTTATTTTTTAGACATGTGAACATTCATATTGAATCACCTCTTCACTACTAGAGAAGGCACTTTATTTATTTAAATTTAGTCTTCAACAAAGAAAAACCACTAAAATCATCGTTATTCATAGGTAAAAATTGAAGTTTTTTTTATTGGTTGTGGTAACCTTTTTCATTTATTGATCTTCTTGATTGAATTCTTGAAAAAACAGGTTATTCGAGCAATATCAGGATGTCAAAGGGAGGCTGTGGGATTGGAGGAAGAGAACAGATCACTAATGGAGACAAGAATTGAGCCACTTTCATTAAGATTTGAAGAGAAAGTTTCTGTAGAATCAAAACTGAATGGATTCAATGGATTCAGGGGAGTTTTATATGCAATGAAAAACGTGAATTCAATTTTACTGATTATCTTACTCTATGGCCTGGTTTTCTGCTGGCCCGAGTCGAATTTTTCAAGAGGAGGATATGAAGGGTGCTTGTTCTTTGGATCATCCTTTATGATCTCAACTGCAAGATTGCAGCAGAGGGTGGCATCTGAGATCAATCAGATGACATTCAGCGGCGGGATTATGCTACACGAGTTTCGACTATCGAAGATTGCCATGGATGAGCTGAGGGGAGAATTGGAGAGGAACTGCTTACAAGGAACTGTAGAGGGGGAATCAGAAGTTGGAATAAGAGAAAGAGTGGAAAATTTGAAGGGTTGTTTTGGAGTTTTGAGAAATGGTACTGAGAATATCATTGGACAACTTGATGACTTTTTTGATGAGATTGTTGAAGGAAGGAAGAAGTTATTGGATTTATGCAGCCATAGATAGAGAATTTATAAGCTCAAAAAATCAGTAGGGGAATCCATAGTTGGATGATTGTAACTTTTCATTTTAGTTTATCTTCCTTTTCCTCCATCTAGTCTTTCGCAATTCCCTTATCTTTGGTATGCAGTACTAAATATGACTAGACACTACAAGGGATAAAGTTTTACTTATTCTTTCTTAATATGTCCAATGCTGTCTGACCATGCAGTATTGAAAATATCATTGGGCAGTGTAATCAATTTTATGATGAAATTGTTGAAGGAAGGAAAAAGCTATTGAAATTTGTGCAGCCATAGGTAGAGAGTTTAGAAGCTCCATTCAAGAATTTGAAGTTAAAAAACAAGGGAAAACAACTAGGAATTTTCATTTTAGTTTATATTTCTTTTCATCATTCTTGTTCATTCTCCACATGTACCGTATGCACTATCGAACAAGATTAGACGGTATAGTGGATATGATTTTACTAAGGATTCTTAATGTTGTCCAAAGTTGTGCAATCCACCTGTTACTAACCATTGGACAACTTGATGATTTTCTTGATGAAATTGTAGGAAGGAGGAAAAACTCTTCGATTTTTACAGCCATAGGTAGAGAATTTAGAAGTTTAATTCGAGAATGGGAAGAAAAATACAAGGATATACTAGTATTAGACATAAGTGAAATAGTGTCATGGATAAGATTTTAATTTTCGTTACTTTTTCAGGTACTGTTTAGTACTGTCTTATCGAAATCATGTTTCTTTTTAGAACACAAATGAGAATTCTTTTAAGGAAAAAGATGTTGGAGAAAGACACGATTTTTAGAAAATCAAGCATGAGAATCCAATGGACACCAAAAGATAAAAGCAAAGTAGTAAAAAGAAATCTGACATGACTACAATAAGTGTAATGAGTTTACAAATTTTCAACCAAACACAGTACTATATCCCCATTTTTGTCTCCTACAAAAGTAAAGCAATGAAAATAACAATAATGAAGACTTCTTGTTACTCAACTGGGGTCGAATTTAAATATCTTTTTCATTTATCTTTTGGTATACTTTTTATATTTGTCTCAAACTCACTACCCTGGTGGCAACTTAGTCCCCTTATCTTTAAAAAAGTGCACACTAGTCCTCGACCTGTCATTAGTCCAAATGTATATTATATCGTCAGCAGTCTTTCATGTCCAATTTTATGAAACGAAGTTTAAATTCTCAACTTAGTCTAATATCATAAAGTGTGACATATTTCCAAAATGGTCACACAATAATATAACGAGGTTCTCTTTAAATTAGCACGAAAATTCATCAATTTTTCGGCAAATTCACATATGGTCGGATACGGTGTTTTCTGTAGCACTCGATCCTTGACTGACGGGTTGTGTTTATTTTTGAAGGCTCGCTTTCAAAAGTGCAATAGAGGTCGCCATCTTAGGCCATTAGCCTTATTGTTGGTGACTGTTTTTGTAGACTTTGGTGGCAGTAAAATGGGTGATGATTACAATAGAAGAAGAATGATGAAAGTGAAGATTTGAGGTTTAGATTCCTGGGTTTTGGCTTTAGTGTCAAAAGCATGAGTGTTTTTTGCTTACTTTTAAGCTTTTGTCTGGTTCAACTCACTTCGAAAGAAATTGATTTGATGAACCAAAAACTACTTGACAAGTCTCTTTTGCAACCCTCCACTCCCAACCCAAAGCCACAAAATATCCATTTTCAAGATCAAATGGTCTAAGGAATTCCTCGGTATGAATACAAAATTCAATATCATATGATTCAATCTTTTAACGATCTCACATGAGCACCGCCCTCATCCACCACCCAAATATCCTTTTCCGAAATAATTTCACTCAGCAGGGCAATACGAAGTTACATAGAGCATGTTTTAAAGTAAGCAAAAATATTTTATTTCAAAAATTATTCGATAACCTTTTTTTAAGTAAATATTACATATTTTGAAAATATCTTTATGCCACTGTCAAAATAAGTGAATCAAACAAGAAGAATATTTATTTTATAGGTAATTTAATTATAAGTAAACTTTTTAAGATTAGTCAAACTTGATTATCTAAACAAATTTTATCTAAGGTTTGTTGTCCCTTTGCCAGAAATTCATGGCTGCCTGTCTTAAGGGATTACTTTAATAAATGATTACTGAAAAAGAAAAGTTAAATGCATAAATTAATTTAGTCAAATGATTGAAAAGTAAGAAAAAACCTATAAATGTTGAAAATTGCTGGTGGTTTTGGCAACATCTTTGCTAGAAACAGACCCAGTCTATGACTGAGCCTACACATAATTGAGAATTTAAAATTAAATCCAACAGAAACAAGTCATTAGACTCAGTCAATTGAACTAAAAATCTTAAATTAATTCACTAAGTAAAAAATTAATCTCGTAGCAACATCAACCCTTGAAAACTTTCAATTCACTAGTGGATCTGAGTAATCTGGCACCTCGCTTACTCAATAGTTTATGAAATTTCTCATCAGTGTATAGACAGCTTCAAAACAGATCAATAAGATCATTCCTAGAGATAACTATGAACAATATCTAGCAGTGTAAAACAAGTTAGGCCAATGCAGAGGTACTCTAATCCTGACTTTGGTAATTATAATCAGAGAACGAGCAAAGTACACACAGAATGATAGTATTTTACACTTCAGATAAATATGAGAGCCATGTCCACTCACAATTGCAATGTTCTAATAGAGAAGAAGAATGCAAGGTTTTCCTCACACCTCTCTTGCGCAAAAAACGACCCTTTAATAAGTCATTTCTAAAGCAAGAATATCAGGGAAACCCCGATACATTCATAAATTCTCAATATACCCCCGTAATAAAAGAAATGCCCTCCATGGTCGAGGTCATACACAGTCCAACATATATGTAAATTGATCACAAGCCACAAAAACTGGAGGAATTTGGAAAAACCAAAGTTGTGCGAGCTCAAATGAAAAAAAAGAAGATATATCGCTGGCAAAGCACAGACTTATTTGCAATTGTATGAAATCAATTTTCTACACCAGGCAATAAGGCAATTTAGGTGGCACCTTTCATCAACAGATAGCAGTTTATGAGGCAAATCTTTATGGATTTTACCGAGTTAAATCTTGGACAGTGTAGAAGGAACTGAATATACCATAACTTCGTTAATTTTACGGAGATAACATTATGTTAACCAAAGTAACAATTGATCACGCTCATTGTGCTGGTTAACATATCACATTAGTGACATCGACATATCATCTCAAATGGAATATAGAAAGGAATAACATGCAAATATTAAGTAAAGTCTAAAGCTAAAAAACATAAAATTCCTGGTTGATATAAAATCTACTTAGCATATAATAGAAGAAATCCATCTAGAAACACTAAGGATGTTAGGTTCCCAATACTAGTTATGACTGGTGAACTTGTCATGAATTGTTTAGCATGAACATGATCAGTTGTCATAATCCATCCAAATTTTCCTTCCTATTTTCCAAGTCTCAAATGGAAAAATGCACAAGAACTAAAGGGAAAACTGTCAAAAAGTTTTGCAAAAGCATCAAGCAGAAAAGAGACAAAAATATCAGCCAGAGCCAGGCAATTACTGTATGAATAAAGGGGCAAACCTTGATGGCAGAAGAAGACTTTTGTTATCAGCTATACCTACAGAAACTCCAACTTGAACACCATTTTGCAGCATGCCATAAACTTTAGGACTTACCATGACTCCATGTGGTTTCGAATTTTTCAGGAAGACCAGTTTTAGGGTGGACCGTGGAGATGCAGTGTACGATCCACTCATTTATTATTCTGAACTATAAGTATCCGGGGGATTAATTTGGAAAACCAGTGGGGATATGCGTCCTTAACAAAAGTGATATCATCATCCTATTTATAGAAACAATGGCTCCTAACATACTAGATTATAGTGTAGAATATAGATGGTCAGGAAAGAAAAAAATGGCCTACATATTGTACCAATAGCTCTGAACTACCACCATATTGATACTTCCAGCATATTGTGCAGTGCCAATATTTTGTTTTATTGTGAATAGCTCCCTCCTCTACTGCGCCTATATGTATTGCTAAATCACGCCTACTGATACATTGCGGGGCCAAAAAGGAATTTTACATGAAATGAATTTCACCAAATCAAAAGCCTGGAAATATTGTAAGATAAATTCCATATACAATCCTTTCCATCAAAGCGAGGAACATGTAAACCTTTAGAACCCTCATTTCCATATGTTTGTCGAAATCCTCCGATGCTTGCTTTGACAAAAACACTTCAGATTAATGTATGAAATGAAGTTCCAGATACTACCTACTCAAAATCCTTATCTAGTTCTTCCAGAACTTGCTCTATAAATATCATCACTTAATCACTACACTCATTACACAAAAGTTATGATTCACTCCTAAAATTTCCCAAGTAACAGTTACTCAGCAGAAGACCCCCACCCCCCAAAAAAAAAAAAAAAATCAATCCATTCCTTGATTTCCCACTCTTTCTTATCCAACTGGAAATCTCATACAGAAACTCTGTCAGCCACTTGAAGCTTTCTACTCATACAATTTACTGATGTTACAGTGCCTAAACCATGGTTTAACCTCAATTTATAAGTTTTTGGATAAATAAAACAATATATCACATACATCAAACTCCTTCAGATGTTTTGAATTTTTACAGCTCTTCCTTCCCCATTCTTTTCTACTTCCGAACATAATTTAAGCAATTGAAGTATGTTTGAGAAGTGCTTAATAAACTGTTTAAATTATAAATA